AAAATCATCTTTCAAACCGAACTTCCAAACTAATAAGTATTCAAATCCCTTTATCAATCAAACACCAAATCCTATTCAAGCAAACATCAATTTCAAATAGAATTTGGGTCATACCACAACAAATTTCCATCTTGACAAAATTTCAAATGCAAAGAATTAGTCTTCACTCTTCAATAAGCAATTTTCCACCTTTTCCACAAGCTCTCTGAGGACTAATTCAAACAATGAATACCAACCAAGTCCAAGTAATGCTCAAACTTGGCAACAATGAGTGTCTTTGTCAACGTATCAACGAGATTATCTTTGGTATCAACATTGCTCACTACAACATCACAACAAACAATTACATCATGCACAAAATGGTACCTAATATCAATGTGCCTTGTCCTCTCATGAAACTTCTGATCCTTAGACAGAAAAATAGCAATCTGGCTATCACAATACACCATAAAAATCTACGAGTCTTCACTGATTTGATCAAATAAACCCCTCAACCACATGACTTCCTTACAAGCCTCTGTAATAGCCATATACCATGCCTCAGTAGTATAATGCCATTGTATTTTGTAATGTAGCCTTCCAACTGAACAGACTCCAATAGTAAACACATACCATATAAGTGATCTTATTTTATCAAGATCTCCTACATAGTATGAATCAACATACCCAATGACTCCTCCTGAATTTCTTTCAAAATGCAAGCAAGCATTTGTAGAGCACGAAGGTATCTAAATATCCATTGTACTGCTTTTCAATGTTACTTATCAGGATTTTCCATTTACCTACTAAATGTACTGGCTGCAAGTGCCAAATTTTGGCGTGTACAAACCATAGCATACATCAATGATCCAACTTCACTTGCATAAGAAACCGTGACATGTAATCAATATCTTCATCTGATTGTAGACACAAAACAAATGATAGCCTAAAGTGGGCAGTCAAAGGAGTTCTGATAACCTTTGCACTCATCATATTAAACATTTTATGTACTTTCTCAATATATCCTTTCTGACTCAAGTATAATCTGTCAGCCTTTCCATCCCTCAAAATCACCATTCCAAAAATATTTTTTGCTGCTCTCAAATCTTTCATATCAAACTCTTCACTGAATTTTGCTTTAACCTTCATTATATTTGATTTATCATCGACAACTATCTACATATCATCAACATAAAGAAGCAGATATGTAATGGGCCCATCTTCACACTTTCTAAAGTACACACAACTATCATAAATGCGTCTTTCAATGTCATAAGTAGTCATGAATGAGTCATGATAGCCCAAGAATAACTAACTATGAGGGATGAGTTGGTTTTTAAAACTTTTCAAAAAATTAATCTAAATTCAAGCAAGTGGAGGTTCGATCCAAAGCAATGATCTACGTCCTCTGTTACCAAACTCTTCGACACGAGCTATGCATGTTCACTATCTCGATTGATTTATGGTGTAATTGAACCCTTCATGACGCTTTCGATGACTTACAAACAAGGGGCACAGATCCTTATACAATATTGAGTTTTATGGGACCTTAATATGGCCCACAAGTATAACAAAATGATTTTACAATGAAACTTCTCTCTTGATAAATGATACAAACGAATTAACTACTAAGAGGGGCTAACACTTCAATAAAATAGCAACAGATGATAGCTCAAGTGTTAGAAGAAAATTTTGATAAATATGATAATTGAATATTAGATTCAATCAACGAAAATTTTTTTAATAAGAAAAAGAATTAAATGCAATTTGAGTTCAAAAATCTTCTCAAAATATATCTCTCTTTTAATGAATAATGATAATAAATTAATTACCAAAAGAGAGATGAGAAACTTTAATAAATATTATGATTTTATAAGTTTGATTCAATTAATCAAAGTTTTAATATAGAAAAGGAGAAGAAATAGATGCAATATAAGTTCAAAACTTTTCTTCAAAATATATTTCTCTTCTATGAATGATAGAAATAAGTTAAGTTCAAAAAGAGATATAAAAAAATTTGATAATCGATCAAAAAAATTTATACGAAAAAATAAATGAAATGAGTGCAATGTAGCCTTAAAAAATTATCTCAAAATATTCTTACATAATACTCTTGAAACTTTCATTAAAGAATGGAAAAAGTGAGGGTATTTATAAAGTTCAAAAAGCAAAATACTCTGTTGAACCGAACAACCAACCGAACGTCCGTCTTTGGATCCGGAAGACTAAAATAGCCGTTATACATACGAAATCTAACGGTCAAAAATCCGACCATTACATAAATTGGACGTCCGTCTTTCACGAATTTATAGAGAAAGAATTTACAAACTTTCTGGGAATTCGGACAAGCATCCAAAGGTCCGCATGCTCAGGCCGGACATTCAGTCGTTTAGGTTGAATTTTTCATTTTTTACTCCATTTGATCCGAGTTGAAAATTTTGATAAATCTAGACTCTTTGAAGGTTTTTTTTTTTTAATTAATTTTCAAAGTAAATGATGTTTTAAAAAATACGATCTAAGTTCAAACATCGTTTTTAAAATCAATTTTATTTTTGATGAAAACATTTTATATAAGTGATAATTAAAATAGCTTTTAGTGCAGAATGTGAGTTTTGAGCTTTTATCATTTATTATTGAAGATCAAAGTATTATTACATTTACATTTGAGCTAAGAAATCTAGTTTTTGATCTTACCTCAAACTTTGGCTCTTATGCTCTCGTCTTGATTTTTTATTGACGATTGGCTCTTAAACTAGTGATCTTGATCTTTTTTCGACGTTTGTCTTTTAAGATCTTTTGATTACGATCGATCGATTTATTATTGGATGCTTTGAAGACTATAATCACTTTAAATTCAATTGTTAGTAAATAAAATTAACTTGTTTGTTATAATCAAAATTTTAAGATTATAATCAACCATATGTCAACAAGTCGAACATTTTATACCATTGCCTTGGTTTCTATTTTAGGTCATAAAGAGACTTCTTCAATTTACACAAATAGTCCTCATTTCCAATAACTATGAAATACTTTGGCTATTGCATATAGATGCCCTCCTCAAATTCTACATGCAAGAATGTTGTTTTCACATCCAATTGCTCAAGCAGCAAATCGTGCTTTGCAACTATACCATGCAAAACTCTAATTGAGCCATGCTTCACCACTGGAAAAATATATCTATGAAGTCTACACCTTGAATTTGACTATATCCCTTAGCTATAAGTCTTGCCTTATAGCTGGCATCTTCAACCCCTTATG